CCGCACGGCGTGTCTGCCTGTTCAATTGTGTTCGTCAACATGACCAGGGACCCAAAAAAAAACAATATCTTTATGCTTGGTAAAGTTTGCGGCGTACCCAAAATTTTTGGATACGGGGGCTAAGGGGTGAGGTGTATCAAATTTCTGTTACCTTTTAAAACAAAGGGGAAGTCTGGACAATCACAAATGGGCACGGCATAGAGCAATACGGAAAAATTGCTGAAGGAGGGGCCCACCCCCCCTTCAGAGTAAAAAAACTAGCCCGGTTAGTAAATGCCCTCGTACGATGCTGTCCGGAAACACTGCTGCGAACCCTAGGGGGCCCCCGTCAGAAGACTTAGAGCCATCTTTTGTACACAGCAAGGGGCATGAAAATTGGAGGGGAAAGGGGGTCAAGAAAAAGAGAGGGGGAAAAGCGGGGGGCGGTAGAAAACAGTTGGGTTTTCGAGCAAGGGGGGGGAAAAAGGAACAGACTCGAACAGCTGGGGAATTCCCCGGGGGGGTTTTGGGAAAAGTGAGATGCTACTTTAACACAGAAAGGTGGTAATTTGAGAGGAAGAAAGAGCGAAGGAAGGGAAAGAGAGAAGGGGCGGAGGGTAAAACGGGGGGCAAAATTTAAAAAAAGAAAGTTTTCCCAATTTCGTGACCATTCTTTTAAAAGTTAAAATTGCGGAGGGTCATGAGAGGTACATTGTAGCGAAGGCAAGGGGGATCACGGCGATCGGATAAAAAATGGAAGTCCGCTTCGCATAGAGACTCTCAACGGGGGAAGGCGAAAAGCACCAAGGTTAAAAGTAATCCTTGGTGATTTAATGGGGTTTTAAGGTTAGAGAGTAGCAGGGAGCCGCTTGGAAAAGAAAATGGTCACCTAATCAAGTTTCGATAAAATGAGGGGGGAAAGTAGGCGAAGCACGGTTCGACGGGTCGCTCCCAAAAGAAAGGGTGAGCCAAGGGGGTTTTAAAAAGGTTTAGCCGGCTGTTTACAAGTTTTTCCTTTTAGAGAGGTAAAAGTGAGGTTTCCAGGGGTAACCTTTCGGTTTAAAAAGGAGGCCCAGAAAAATTGACTACAGTTCAGGGGGTAAAGGGGGGGCCATAGAGGTTTCAAAGGTGTTGGAAAAAGGGCAGAGCGTCTAGTTTAAAGTAATTTGGTGGGTTTTTGTGCTGGAATTTTAAAAACCCCTTTTGGTGGGCCCCAATTTGGAAAAACGGTCGACCGCATGGGTGGAGAAAAAACTGTAATGAGGGGGGACAGGCAGCGCCCCGCCCAGGCAATAGCAAGTTATAACAGAGTGATGACCAAAAATTTTATGGAAAATAGAGGGGCCAAAAACATTAATAGCAAGGAGGGGGAAAAAATGTTGTGCTCAGAACCAACCCTGAGGGACACCTTTGCTTTGGGTTTTTAAAACCGGGGAGAGCCCCATTATTTAACCCCAACCCCGGAAAAGGGCTATCAGTTAAAAAAGGGTTTTTAAGGAAGGATGGTAGATTGCCTTGGAGGGGTAAGGAGTGGGCTTGGGCCAAAATATTATACCCCCAAGTTGTATATGCCCTTTTCAAGGTAAAAAAAATTGGGGAAAAAAACGAAATGGTTTTTGCCCAAAAGGGTAGGGGTTATTCGCAAAGGCGTAGTAAGGGGGGTCTATGGTAGGGAAAGTTTCCCCTTAAAAAAAAAGCCATATTGACGAGTGGAAGACTGTTGGTTTTTAAATACCCACACTAAACGTCTATTTCCCCAGGCGTTCCATCATTTTGCAAACTCACTGGTAAGAGCAAGGGGACGAAGGGGAGGCTTCATGCCCTGTAGTGCCTGGGCAAGGGGGAAAATTAAGGCAGTTTTCCACAGCTGGGAAGAACTGCTTTGCCCAATAAGATTAAAAAGGTTTAATAGACGCAAGGGCTGATGATGTAAATGTTTAGATACGAATAGAATGTCGTCGGGCCCAGTCCCAATGACGGCGGGCGAGGTGTTGCCTCCAGTTCTTGAAGTGAAAAAGGACATTATACTGTTTTTCTCTGAGAGAAGAAAAGCCCCAGGGGCAACTTTGGCAGACTTTGAGGAAAGAAACGGGGGGTGAGGGAGCCCCGAGAAATACGACCAGAAATTGCCAATTTATGGAACACTAGTGGGTTTGCATATCAACACCGGCAACCCGCAGAACGGGGCCCGGGGTCGGGAAATTTTACCTCATTTTCGTATTTTTTTCCGGGCTGCCTAAAGGGAAGTAGAGGTGATGGGGAGACAATCTCGCCGCAAGTGCGTTTTGCGTCATGGAGACACGGCGAGCGATCGACCTTCTGCTTAAAATCAAGAAGTCTTCGTGGGGTTTACTGTCCCGGGACCTGCCCCCGCAGTCGTTTAACTCGCACGAGCACAAGCAGGAGACCACCAAGGGACGCATTTTTGAGAATGCCCTGCCCCAAGTTTGGGGGATGAATGAGAAGCTGGGTTAAAAGGAGGACAAGGGGAGGTGTAAAGTCATCAATGGAGGACGAAAGAAGGAACCTCACTAAAACAGTTTTGAGTAAAGGTTCCAATTTGCCCGATCAAATTTCCAGCGTGGGGAAAGAAGGGTGGTGAAAAGAAGGGGGAAATAAGAATGATTGGGAAAATGATCCTGTCAGTAAAATCGGGGGGAACAGACAGGGAAGTCTAATGCGGGGGGAGGAAGAGCAGCGGTGATGCAAGAGTTGGTTAGGATCAAAAAGGGTGCGATACCTGTATTTTTTTAAAAGGAGGGGGTGGGTGGCAAGAAAGCCCCTAACTGAATGACGGGAATACAGGAGCCCTCCCCCAGAGGAAATGAGGGCATTAAAATCCCCAAAAACAGAATCGGTGGGGGAAACGACAAAACAAAAAAGGCTTTTCCCCAAAAATAGATAAGCCCGAGAAGGAGAAAGAAAAAAAGAACAGGGCAAAACCACCTTGCAAGTGGTAGGGGGCGCTGTGTAATCAGCGAAGTACGAACAAATGTGAGGTCGGAATTCAGTGGTAGAAGAAGGGACTTTCATTAAAGGTCCCTCAGAAAAAGGATCTGAAGAATAAGTAAGTTATACCTGGATGGGGAGTAACAGCGAGTGTAATTTTGGTTCCTGAAGAAAAAACCCAACAGGGGAAAAGGGGGCCGAAATTATTCCACTGAAAATAGGCCTGATGGCAAGATAAAGTATCCAAAACCCGCGGGAAAGGGTTTCCCACAATGGGGGGGTTTAGAAAAGTCCACATCGGGGGCAGCGGAAAATGTTTCGAGCAGTGAAGGACGGTCGTGTGAAGAAAGGAGTTGCGCAGAGGGGAGGGAAGAGAAGGAAAGAGGGGATAGTATCCATTGAGGGTTTTGGTTCTGCAACATATTCAATTGCTTCAAGCGTTTCGGAATTCGGACGTCATATGGGAGACAATATTGGAATGGTAGGGGGGGGATGAGAAAAGATTGGAACTGTAAGGACTGTATAAGGTAGGCGGGGGCGAAAGGGTGGGGGGGAACTGGAAAGAACAGGGAAGGGGGACAAAAGAGGCAGAAGCTGGGAGGTGGCAGAAGAGGAAAAAAATTGGGAGGGAAAGGGAAGGAAGGTAAGTTAAAAAGGGTAAACCCTCTACACTTGTAACAGAGCCAGTGAGGGGGGAAGAACCAGGTACGAGCAGGGAAGGTAAAATGAGGGGTGGAAGGGGGGTTAAAGGCCTTTTTTTTGTTCTGGAATAGAGGGGGGATTGGGGGGAAGTGGTACGGGTCCTTTCGATACGGGGGTTGTGGGGGAGAACTGAAGCGAGAAAGACCGAGTCGTTGAAGTAGAAAATCCGACCTAGGACGTAAAAGAATTGATACGGAGTGACTATGGGAGAGGTAACCACAAAGGAGGCTGCAGAAGATGGGACCCAGAAGTGGGGAGACGTTTTGAAACATGGGAATAAGAAAACGAGGTAGTCTCCCTTGGAGGCGGAGATGAGAAACTCCATGGATAAGGGAGACTTTCCCCTTTTAGGTAACGGTTTCCCGCTCTTTGAAGTAAAATTGGAAATGGCGAGAGTACAAGGGTGAGCCTCAGAAAATTAAAGGCAAGGGGGAGGTCGTTTGCAAGGGAATTTTAAAAATGGTCTGGCACCACAGACTGGGGATTCGGGGTATGGTCTGCAATATTTCGCTAGATGGCCAAATCGTCAGCAATTTTTACACTGTTCGGGTGGGATCACCCTTTTGAATTGCAACCCTGTCCTGCCCTAAAAGAGGATGGGAGTTCAGGCTGTCAAAAGTTAAACGGCCAATTGCTAGGTATCGTTCCCCCTGGGGCGGAAGAACTAAGTTCTACCCTTTAGGATGGGGTCTTTGGGGTTCCCGCTGTTCAAAAATGTCATTGCCCATGTCGGAAATTTTGTTTAACTATGGGATGGGGCGAAGACGGTACCACTACAAAATTTAGAGAAGTGGTTTTCAATAGGACAGGAACAGTATGTATGGGAAAGAAGGAAGATTTTATGAGCTTGGGTAGCATTCGTCAGGGGATGCCGTCCCCCTCTTTAAAAGGGATGAAAAAAAAAATCTTTACCAACATGGCATAGGATGCCTTGCATAATTTTTGGAAAGATAGGAGTAGAGGAAATTGGGCGTAAAATGAAGAATTTGTCCATTGTGCATCTGAAATGAGCGTGGGAAAAGGGAGTGCCGGACGTGTCGACCTTTTTGGGGAAGAACAGAAGGGGAGAAGTATCATCAGTAGGGAATTGTCATCGGCTTTAGGCGTGGGGCCCGATTTTGGGGACGTGGAACGGGCCGGAATTTAAAATTGCATACCGTAGAGGGAAGGCCCGGGGCAAATCAAAGGAGAGCGGAGGGAGATAAAAAAGAAGGGGTCAGTCGAGACCCCATTACCTGAAGCGGGGGGAGGGAAACACATGGCAAAAGGTAAAAGGGATGGGTGTCCGAAGAGGGTCCAAAGAGGGTGGGGTCGAACGGGGGCGTATCAAGAAGGGGCCGGGGGTAGCATTCATAACTGGGGCGGCCATGGTTAGATTACTTCTTTCTTTTTGTTTTTAAGAAAAAAAAAAAAAAGAAAAGAAAATAAAAATAAAAAAAGAATAAAAAAAAGGGGGGACCAGGGAGGGATAGTTCCTAGGAGGAATGAAAGGGCCAGAAATCTCCCTCCGCACCCAAGAGGACCTCAGCACCGCAAGTAGCGTAGATGCAGCATGGAACCCGTGCCATACCCTACCCATCATGCCAGTAAACCGGCAATCCGGGATAGGAACCTCACATCTGCCGAGCTACCTCGGTGGACAAAAGAGAGCGCGGCCGGATATCCGTCACAAAGCATACCTCCTTCGGCCACCACCCCCGGAATCCGAAAGGTGGCTTCCAGAGATACACCCGTCGCCCGAGAGACACCCAAAGCCACCCTCCGGGATACCGGAGAGGGATCAGGACATCCCCAGGCGATCCAGATTCCACGGCAAACTACGCCACCGCCAAGAACCTCAACGGAATGGGATGGACCCCGGTACCCTTTCCCCTACCTAGGAACTAGCGTGCCTGTGGGAAAAATCCCAAAGGCCAAAAAGAGGAAGGGCAAAAGGGAGGGGTGGGGAGGAAGAGGAGGAAAGGGAAAAGGGGAGGATGGGGAAGATGGGATAGGGAAGGGGGGATTAGGGGGTAATTAGGTTCGGTCTGAGGAAGGAGACCGACAGGTCTAACTCCTCAGACCAAGAGCCTCTTCACCACGCCAAGGAGCCCCCTTGAAGAGGAACATTTACAGAGTAAAACCAAATACGTACAATATCTTGTATAAAAAATTACTTGGTCGAGATTCTTACAATACATAAAAATAATTAATGAAACAACAACAAAAAAAAAAAAACACTGGAAACATCCGATGGACAAAAGATAAACTGCACGTTTAGTGTACATAACTTATATAGGTCGGCCATCAGTAATCTGGTAATCAGTTAACCGGTTCCATCAGTAATCTGGCACTAATTTCAGCTAGCATAATTTCAAATTTCATCATTATACTGACTTAAATATTGTGTAGATGGTTGTAAATCCACAGCAGCAAGCCAGTGGAGGAGAAAATGAGGAAGATGTAGCAGAAAGTCTCTCTCTATTGATAGGTTAATTAAGTGTATTCTAACCTAACCATTAATCCGGCAAACTCACTAATCCGGTACACTACAGGTCCCAATGATGCCGGATTAGTGATGGCTGACCTGTATTACAGTACATGTAAACATTAAAATATGCAGTATGTCTGCAATGCGCTTTAACCATACCACATAACTGCATTACTCGTACACTTTTTAAATTTTTATATTAATAAAAAACTACCTGCATATTACTTTAATTTTTTAAAACATTAAGTAGCCATTTACAAAGAATGGATCCTGAAACCTTCAGTATCCCAGAGATGAGAATTAAATGCCCTGTACAATGCAAGTTAAAAAAATTAAAAAATATCTTACAATTGTTTAGCGACTTGTTTATAAAGTACGAGTTGCCCCACACAACACACTTGTTTCCTTTGAAACATCAGTGTCTATTGTGAGCCTCAAATTATTCCCATGTTCATAACAGCAACAACATAAGGCAACCTTCAGTTATACTGTATTTTCAACAGAATTTTCAATTAAGTTAGAACCAATCAACATGAAAGGCAACTACTAAATTCATAAATAAATATTTGAAATTATGTGTAATAAAAAATATTCCTCTGTACACCTTAAAACAAAAAATTGGGGATTTAAATTTTTTCATGTAAATTATAAAACATTTTTCAATCAAATCAACACTGTCATAACTGAAATAGACTGGCTTGTATTTTTACTGTACAAGAATAACACTCTCCACGGGAAAGTGGAACAGAATTCTTCCTCCATAAGCCATGAGTGTCAGAGGCAACTAAAATGTGAGGAGCAAGAGGATAGAACTCCTCCTGTATACATTACTAAATTTAAAGAGACGATTGTTTTTCTTTTGGGTCACCCTGCCTCGGTGGGATATGGCTGGTTTGTTGGAAAAAAAAATTAAAGAATAACTAACATATATCTACATCATCACTGCCCCATTTCTCACTTTTGCAGGGTGGGAGGCCAACTACGAGAAAGAGAAGGAAAAGTCATGTAAGATATACTGTAAAAAACTGCTACCCAACCTTTCATTATACCTTCCACATTGCATGGAAGCCTGAAAAACCAACACCACCACAGGCTAACAAGACAGTCAGTGGTATTTCTACTGCTTAACAGGCCAAGTATAAAAATACAACAGATGAATTATGACAAACACCCACCCACTCACTCACTCCAAACTACATTTACTCACTTACATTCGCTGCCTGTCTTGTACATTGGTAGCATACATACCATACTACCTTTTCATTCACACCTTTTCATTCTTTACACTCTAATCTTGTTACAACAGATGCTACCCATATAGTTCATCTCTAACACCATAACTCAATCTCCCACTCATTCAATAAGATTGGAACAATCACCCCCTACATCAATACTGTACAAATCATTCTCGGTTGAGAGTACATATCCTAGATATCTCAGACAAAAACTATATTATCTTGGTAATATGCTAAAAGGAAAAGCAATGCTATACCAACAAAAAAGCCAATATTTTGGAGGAGGAGAACACCAAGAGCAGACTTCCAGCCTCCCACTGCTGCTTTACTCGCTACTTCATTCATCTCTGGTACCTGTGAGGATGAGATCATCATTAAGCATGCTACACAAAATAATGAAAATCGTATCTTGTATAATGTCATGAAAAACATTTCTGCTACAATCAAAACCGAGAACTATTACTTTAACAAATGCAGAAATTAAGAGATATTAAAAGCTAAAGTTTGCTACAGTACATGTTCTAACAATACATACACTATGTCATTCTTATCCAGAGGGCTAAGGAGGAGTTATTGAGATGGTTCAGACATTTGGAGAGGATAGAACAAAATAGAATGACTTGGAGAGTGTATATATCTGTAGTAGAGGGAAGGCAGTAGTAAAAGAGGTTTTGTGTGCCAGGGGCTTGGACTTCCAGCGAGCATGTGCGAGCGTGTCAGGTAGGAGAGTGGAGGAAAGTGGCTTTTATGACTTGACATGCTGTTGTAGTGTGAGCAAGGTACATTTGTGAAGGGTGGTGGAAGGCACAGTGCCTGTGCTCTGAAGGAGGGGTAGAGATTGTTGCAGTTTTTAACTGTAGTATCAGCATGTGTCTGGCAAGACAGTGATGAAGTGAGTGATGAAAGAGTTTCTTCTTTTTCGGGTCACTCTGCCTCGGTGGGAAACTGTCAGTGTGTTAATAAAAAAAAAAAAAAAATCTGCTAGAGTTATCTCTGAAAAGTTTATGAAATGCATACACAGTAAGGCCTTGATAAATTAGACACATGTGCAACTCTTGGGTATCTTTATTAAGGAAACGTTTCGCCACACAGTGGCTTCATCAGTCCATACACAGGAGAAACTTAAAGAACAGGAGTATGAGGTAATCAGTCCCTCAACCTTGAGTCGATGTTGTCAGTCCATCAATCTTGAATAGAATACGGCATATGAGTGGAGAAGCTTGCCTAGCCCTTGGGCACGACCTACTTCCACATTGGGCAAATGTGACACCACCTACAACTGCTGCACCTCTCCTGCCTACGGTTTATAAGCTGCTTCTCCGCTCATATGCCGTATTCTATTCAAGATTGATGGACTGACCACATTGACTCAAGGTTGAGGGACTGATTACCTCATTCTCCTCCTGTTCAAGTTTCTCCTGTGTATGGACTGATGAAGCCACTGTGTGGCAAAACGTTTCCTTAATAAAGATACCCAAGAGTTGCACATGTGTCTTAATTTATCAACGTGTCGGTTCTGTGAGCCATTCATCTACAACACAGTAAGGCCTTGTTAAAATTTTATTTTTAAAAGAACTGGTAAATCCATTTTTCAAATTTGGTTCTGGGACAAAATTCCTTCAATCTTATAACATTCTTGTATCAGTTACAGAATTTTCCTTTTTCTTTTAAGCCAACTCTGGAAATTTCCCGAGACCAATCATGACATGGGATCTGTGTGGAGGATTAAACTAATAGAGTAACTCTTCGCCATCATATTAGGACCAACCACAGTCCCATATACAGTAACCTTCTCAGATAGACAGGGAAGAACATGTCTCAAACCTCTAATGTGTTTTACATCAAGGTGCTCCTCACATCCAGGACAATTACACCTTACGTCATGGAGTTAAGTTTATGAAAATTTCACATGACAATTAGTTAGAGCTGAAGCAAGTGAAATTAGGAAAATAGAGGAACAGTGCATAAAATGAACTGGAAAAAAAGCAAATCCTGTGTGATACACGAACCTACCCTAGTTATAGTTCAGTGTTGAAAATTTAAAGTTGATCAGATGAGGCAGTCTTAAGTTATGAATGGAAATCTTAAAGAAAAAAAACTCTGTACTCAAGCTCTACAATAAAGCCAAATGAAAATATGACATTTAAGAACTTGCTAAACTTGAAAACTTCATACAAATACGAGTTTTCAATATTTCTCGGCTTTCTTTTTTCAGTTATATTCTACTACATATTTTCTATTATCCTGTAAAATCAAGTGGTTTTTTAAGTAAAATTTTGAAAATAGTACCCACAGTCCAAAGTTTCCTCTAGGTATGTTAAGATAAATCAGCAATGAAAGTTGGAAACTGACAATGAGACATTCACAAACCATTGTACAGAAATCAGTATTTCAATTAGTTCAATAAAAATGGCAACTTGGCACCTCCACAGCCCAAGATCAGGCCAAGTTTTATTTATGATACACCGGCATTTAGAGTTCGAAGGTGATCAGAATTCTTCAGTTATTGCATGGAAACAATTCTTAAAATTAGCAAATTTAAACTGACCACAGCCAAAAATCAATGTGAAAATTCCAATATGCAAATCCAATCAATGCTGAAAGTTTGAAGACAATCAAAAGAGGAATTCTCCAGTTATTGTTCAGAATCTAACAAGTCTAAGTTTACTAATTACGTTAGCAAACTGGTAAATTTGCACCCCGAAAGCTAAATTTATCGGATACCAGCCTGTCCATAAAATGCATCAGCCATTTTATGAATAGAGGCATATTCAAGTTATTTCACAGAACAAATATTATATGGTTTTAAAAATAATATTTGCATGTACACATTCCAACCTTGTTCTAAGAATGATACATCAGTATTAAAAGTTTGAAACTAATCAAAAGAGACTTGCATAGCTTTCTGAAGTTTCACACAGAAGCCAAAATTGTAAATGGTCTATATACAACTGACCAGAAGGCACCTGAACATGATAATAGTTCCACGATCCTTTTCCTAGCTACAGTATACTAGCACTAAAAATTTGAAGTTGATCAGATAAAGCATTCTCACAATATCAATGAAAATCTTTGCAAGAAAAGAATTCTGCCAACCACTTTTAGGGATACCTAAAAGTTAAAATACACACATGCATGCTTCATAATTCTACTCCAGATTTCTTCCAAACTTGTATTCTTACCATATCAACCAAAGCTATGTAGAGAAACATGCCAGCTGCCAGGGCAAATATTGCTGTATTGTCCTGTGTGAACTCTCCCAGAAGTATTCCAAATATTAATCCAAGATAACAGGTGGTTGCAGACAAGAAATTGTAAGCTACAGCTTGTTTCATTGTCATGCCGGCATTCAGCAGAACAGCAAAATCACCTGTAGCAAAGAAAATATAAATAGGCAAAAATATTAATAGAAGGAAACCTTTTGTAATATCAGTGACTTGTTCTTAGCTACAGTAATCGAGTAAAATTTCTAACATAAGACAAACAGCATACAGTATGTTCACAGATATTATATTTAATGTTTTTGAAATAATGTACTTATTATTTCACGTGTATAATTCCTTCAAATTCTTCAATCATTACCAACCATACCTTGCTAATAACTTTAATTTATAATTGAATTTTAATTTTATAAAAAGTATAACAAATCAGAAAGTAATGAAAATTATATGCTTAGGTTGGACTCTTCTCTAATTATGAAGTAATTTGTATCTATGCTGAATAAAACTGCCACCTTGTGACTTACCTAATTCATGAGGTAGCTCCTCACACATAACTGCCAGGCTTATGGAAATGCCTGTTAATAATGACTCTGAAAATGCAGCTCCAATGGAAACTCCATCAATGAAGTTATGGAAACCATCTCCAAAGATGATCATCCATGCAACAGTCTTGATGACAGAGTCTTTACCCTGTCGGAACTCTATGGTGTTATTGTGGCAGTGTAACACCTTTGGTCTCTGCAGAAGAGAAAATGTTAAGATTAGACAAATACCAAAAATAAAAATATTATTTAAAAATATTAATGGAAGTCTCCTACCAGGGCAGTTACAAAAGAAAATGCATTCACCATCATTCACTCAATTACCATCCTTCCAGAAGTGTGTTGACATGATCAGATTATTCTCTGACTGCAATATACCTCTAATTCCAGGACTAAAGTCTGGCTAACCAGCTTTCCTGAATCCCTTAATAAAAGTTACTTTGCTCACAGTCCAATAGCGCATCTATTAAAAACCACTTGTCTCCATTCACTTCCATTTAACAAACTCATCAACCTGCTGGATGCTCAAGCCCTTATACTCAAAGCCTCCTTTACTCCTTACCTCCAACCATTCCTGAGACAACCCATAGCTCTACTACCTTCCACCCCAGATTTATACATCTTCACTGTCAACCTATCCCTCTTCACATCTCTACATACCCAAACCACCTCAGCCTCTCCTCAGCTCTCTGAATTATACCCTTGGTTACCTCACATCACCTTTAGTTTCTATGATACAAATCCTCTGCAGAACATTCACACCAAATATTACACTCAAACATCATCTTTCTGCTGCCTCTAGGCTAAACATGATTTTATGAGAGAAAGAGAGAAAGAGAGAAAGAGAAAGAAAGAGAAAGAGAAAGAAAGAGAGAAAGAGAGAAAGAGATAAAGAGAAAGAGAAAGAGAGAGAGAAAGAGAGAGAAGGAGAGAAGAGAGAGAGAGAGGAGAAAAGAGAGAGAAGAGAGAGAGAAAAGAGAGAGAGAGAGAGAGAGAAGAGAGAAGAGAGAGAGAGAGAAGAGAGAGAAGAGAGAGAGAGAGAGAGAGAGAAGAGAAGAGAGAAGAGAAGAAAAAGAGAAAGAGAAAAGAGAAAGAGAAAAAGAGAAAGAAAAAGAGAAAGAAAAAAGAGAAAGAAAAGAGAAAAGAAAAAGAGAAAGAGAAAAAGAGAAAGAGAGAGAAAGAAAGAAAGAGAGAGAGAGAAAGAAAGAAAGAGAAAGAGAGAAAGAGAGAAAGAAAGAAAGAGAGAAAGAGAGAATGCAAGTTCCTGATCCAGCAAGGGACCCTCCTTGGCTAGCTGCAAGAACTGTGTCAAAACTGTCAGTGGTGGCAATAAGGCAGGAGGAGGTGCATTTCCTACTTAAATCGCTTGACCAAGAAAAGGCTGTGGGCCCAGACAAGTTGAGCCCAAGATTGTTGAGATGATGTGCAGACCAGCTAGCAGCACCTCTAACTCGCATCTTTCAGGACTGCCTAGTACAGTGTAAATGGCCCTCTCTATGGAAAGAGGCAAATGTAGTCCCTGTTCACAAAAAGAAGAGCAGATCAGAAATCAGCAACTACAGACCAGTGTCACTCCTGTCAATCACTGGTAAGATCCTTGAGACAATAATCTCAAGACAAATGACAGAGTTTTTTGACTACCACTCACTACTTTGTGATCGTCAATATGGCTTCAGGAAAGGTTACTCTGCTGCTGATCTGTTGTTAAACCTCTCCACTAAGTGGCACCAGTCACTGGATGAATCCAAAGTCAGCTGTGTGGTAGCACTGGACATTGCTGGCGCTTTCGACCGAGTGTGGCACCAGGGCCTCTTAGCAAAACTTCAAGCACTAGGAATTGCAGGTTCTACACTGTCTCCTCAGTGACTACCTTCATGGTAGATCTCTAAATGTAGTTCTCAATGGAACGGAATCAGCAAGACATCCTATTGGGGCAAGTGTTCCACAAGGAAGCGTGCTGGGTCCATCGTTATGGAATGTCTACTTCAACGACCTTCTTCATCTCATCCCAGAATCACATGCATATGCAGACGATTGTACACTGACATTCACTTATCCAAGAGAAGAAATGCCAGCTGCTCTAAGCTACATCAATCACCAGCTGAGAGCTATATCAGCTTGGGGAAATAGATGGCAAGTAACATTTGCACCTGAGAAAATGCAAATGATGATCATCTCTAGGCACCATGATGGTAATGCTGGTGCAGTAGTAAGGATGAATGGGAGGATGTTGGCACCTGGAGAAGTTGATATCCTTGGGGTGAAATTTGACTCCAAACTAACCATGAAGAACCATGTTGTAATTCTTGCAAACAAGGCAGCCAGGAAGCTTACAGCACTTCGCCGTATCTCCCATCTGCTTGACAGTAGGGGTTGCAAGATCCTGTACGAGGCACAAGTACGCTCGCACCTTGAGTATGCTCCACTTTCTTGGTTTGCCTGCCCCCCCCCCTCATCTGTGACTGCTTGACAGAGTAGAGAACAGAGCAAGACGTCTCATCTCTCGCCTGGACCCATCCTGGATAGATCTGTCATTTCAGCAGAGCCTTCAACATAGGAGGGATGTGGGTGGCCTTACTGTTATGTACAAGGCCAATATTGTCAAAATACCACATTTGGATCCACTTCGAGGACAGCGTGAAACAAGCTTTTATGCCACAAGATGGGCAGAAAGCAGCAACTTCACTCTGGCTGTACCCTTCTCCAGAACATCACTCCATCTGAGATCATACATACCCAGGATGACTCGAGTATGGAACACATTCGTACAGGATAATGTCAACGAGATAAAGTCAGTTGATCAAGATGGAAAATGCTGGCCACAGATGCTCCATTCATCGTTTACCTATTGTAGTCTCAAATAGGCAAAGAAATTAGGGAACCTTAACCTAGTAAATAGCTGCATAAAGTAGGACAACCTGAAATGGAACAAGTAAGAAGAGAGAGAGAGAAGTGAGTGACATGAAGGCAGAGATGAGATCAAGTAGAGAAAGAGACTAAGATGCAGAGAAATAGGAGACTAAGAAAAGCTGCAAAAAGAGGATGTGAGTGAAACGAGTAAAGGAAAAGAAAGAGAAAAGAAGAGAGAGAAGTGAGAAAGAGAGAGAGGCAGAAAGAAATGGTGAAAGTAGAAAGAGAAGAGATAGAGACAAAGAGATGAGAAAGAGGAGAAATGAGATAAGAGAAAGAGAAAGAGGAAAGAGAAGAAGGAAAGAGGAAGAGCAAGATGAAAGAGTGAGGGAGATAAGAAAAGTGAAAAGAGAAAGAGAAAGAAAAAGAGAGAGAGAGAGAAGAGAGAGAGAAGAGAAGAAAGAGAGGAAGGAGAAAGAGAAGAAAGAGAGAAAGAGAAAGAGAAAGATGAGAAAGAGAAAGGAAAAGAGAAAAGAGAGAAGAGGAAAGAAGAGAAAGAGAAGAGAAAGAGAAGAGAGAAAAGAGAAGAAAGAGAGAAAGAGAAAGAGGAAAAGAGGAAGGGAAAGAGGAAAGAGGAAAGAGAAGAGAAAGAGAAAGGAAAGAGAAGAGAGAAAGAGAAAGAGAGAGAAGAAGAAGAGAAGAAAGAAGAGAGAAGAGAAAGAGAAGAGAGAAAGAGAGAAAGAGAAAGAGAGAAAGAGAGAAGAGAAGAAAGAGAGAAGAGAAAGAGAGAAAGGAAAGAAAGAGGAAGAAGAGAAGAGAGAAGAGAGAAGAGAGAAAAGAGAAAGAGAAGAGAGAAAAGAAAGAGAAAGAGAGGAGAAAGAGAGAGAAGAGGAGAGAAAGAGAAAGAGAAGAGAAAGAGAGAAGAGAAAGAAGAAAGAGAAAGAAGAGAGAAGAAGAGAAAAGAGAAGAGAGAGAAGAAGAGAGAAGAAAGAGAGAAAGAGGAAAGGAGAAAGAGAGAGAAGAAGAGAGAAAGAGAAAGAGAGAAAGAGAGAAGAGAGAAGAGAAAGAGAGAAGAGAGAGAAAGAAGAGAGAGAAAGAGAGAGAGAAGAGAAGAGGAGAAGAGAGAGAGAGAAGAGAGGAAGAAGAGAGAAAGAGAAGGAAGAGAGAAAAGAGGAAGAGAGAAGAGAGAAAGAGAGAGGAAAGAGAGAGAGAGAAGAGAGAGAAAGAGAAGAAAGAGGAGAGAAGAGAGAAGAAGAAGGAGGAAAGAGAAAGAGAGAGAAAGAGAGAGAAAGAGAGAAGAGAGAAAGAGAGAAAGAGAGGAAAGAAGAAGAGAAAAAGAGAGAAAGAGAGAAGAAGAAGAAAAAGAAAGAGAAAGAAAGAGAAAGAAGAGAGAAAGGGAGAAAGAGAGAGAAAAGCGAGTTGGTTATTTTCTTCCAAAATTAAAACAAATTTGATTTTTTGCAAGTTTATAGGGAGGTGACCAGTGATTTTAATTATACATAGATGTATAGGGAACAGATCATGTGACCTTATTCATACACAGGTGTACAGGGAGTAAACTAGGTGACCTTAATCATACATAGCAACATTGCAGTAAGAGTAAACAGAAATGGTCATTACTGCACATGATTCAAGTTCCACATGTAATTTTCCCTGACAAATTATCAACAAAAAAAAATATTGTATTTACTTATTGGTACTATACTACATATACGGACCCCAATAGAAATAAATCACACTGAATTAACCCTTAAATGGTCCAAACGTATATATACGTTTTTTCAACATCTGTAAGTATGTAAAAAAATGTAGATCTTTTTTGTTTTACATCTGAAAACTTGTAAAAAAACTTTTATCAACATTTTTTTTTTTTGTTATATTTGAAAATATGTAAAAAAAAAGTAGATCTACTTTTGTAGCATTATGAATCTGAACGTCGATCTCTTTGGACCATTTAAGGGTTAATGGGTTGTCTTAGGTCAAATCCATATAATTTAATACATGTGTGTGTCCTCAAAACCATATATACAAACTTATTTTACTGCTTGTAAAATCATTTGCAAACAATGTGCTTCCCAATAAAATTCTCAAAATAGATAATGGCACTAAATAACAAGAAAATGTAGAGCTTACCTCACTGTGTCCAAATGATGCCTTAATAGCTTGTTCCTGTGAAGCATAAATCAGCTCCACATTTTTGGGAGCACAGCTACTGACAGGAGGCACTAACTTGGAGCCCTCAAAGCTCTCACTTTTGCTAAGCGAGGGCTGTCTGCTGCTAAGTTCATCACCAAGATCTGCTCTATCCGATGACTGCAACTCACAACCATTTGCACAAAGCATTCTTTGTTCAGACTGAGATGCAGGGATTTTGTTACTGTCCTCCTGCAAGTTTATTGAGTCAGTTTTAAAGTGACTGGTAATTTCACGTGAAAACAAATGGGTTATGGTTACATTCCTAATTACTATATACATGGGGTAAATACTAAACCCATAAGGGTCTTATAGCACCTGGGGAATGGGGAGATGGGGAGGGTGGGAGGTAATCAGGTTTGATTTGAAGAGATTATACATATTACAGTATATTAATGAGGCATTCAACCTACAAGGGTTATTAAGCACCTGGGAAATGGAATGGGAAAGGGATAATCAGGTTTGATCTAAATGGATTTTTTTTTTTGGGGGGGGGGGGGGGAAGGCGGGGAACCCTTCACTAGCATGAAGGAACCCCACTGAGGCAGAAAATTTCATGCAAATTGTTTAGCATGCACATGTTATTAGTTCAAAAACATTTGTACAGTCACTTAGGTTAATCAGATCAGATAAGTTTACAAGCTAATAAATGTGTGTATACATGTGTTTACTTATTTATTCTAAATTTCCATGAAAAGAGGATATAAAATGCCATTTTTCTGATTTTTGGTAAGTGCCTCTGATGATTATTTTTTTTTCTCAACACGTCAGCCATCTCCAATCAAGGAAGGGTGGCCCAAAAAAGAAACATTTTCACCATCATTCACACAATCACTGTCTTTGCAAAGGCCCAGATACAACAGCTCAGATGTCCCTCCAAACAGCCAATATCCCAAACCCCCTCCTTTAAAGTGCAGGCATTGTACTTCTGACCTCCAGGACTCGAGTCCAGATATATATATATATATATACATTTAACACATCAGCCATTTCCTACTGAGGCAGGGTGACCCTAAAAGAAAGAAAAACCCAAAAAGAAAAAAAAAAAAAAAAAAAAAACTTATTATCATTTGACACTTTCACCATCATTCACATAATCACTGTCTTTGCAGATGCACTCAGATACAACAGCTTAGACGTCCCTCCAAACTGCCAATATCCCAAACCCCTCTTTTAAAATGCAAGATTGTACTTACCATTTCCAGGACTCAAGTCTGGCTAACTGGTTTCCCTGAATCCCTTCACAAAATATTACCCTGCTCACACTCCAACAGCTCTAAAGGTCCTAAAAACCATTCGCCTCCATTCACTCTTATCTAACATGCTCATGCAAACTTGCTGGAAGTCCAAGCCCCTTGCCCACAAAACCTCCTTTACCCCTTCCCTCCAACCCTTTCGAGGATGACCTCCATCCCGCCTTCCTTTCCCTACAGATTTATACACTCTCCAAATCATTCTTTGATCCATTCTCTCTAAATGACCAAACCACCTCAACAGCCCCTCTTCAGCCCTCTGACTAATATTTTAGTAACTCCACACCTCTTAATTTCCACAACGAATTCTCTGCATAATATTTACACCACACATTGGCCTTACACAGGACATCTCCACTGCTTCCAGTCGCCTCCTCGCTCCAGCATTTACAACCCATGCTTCACACCTATAGAGTATAGTGGTACCAACACACTGTAAGTGTGTTGGTACCACCATACTCTCGTACATTCCCTTCTTTGCCTCCACGGATTACATTTTCTGTCTCCACTCAGACCGGGCCGCGGGGGCGTTGACCCCCGGAACTCTCTCCAGGTAAACTCACCTTTTTTTTCCTTCATCAATTCTATGGTTAACCTTATTCTTCATAAACTCATCCGCTGACAAGTCAACTCCAAAATATCTGAAAACAATCACTGCTTCCATACTCACTCCCTCCCTCCAATGTGATACTCAGTTTTTCTTTATCTAAATAGTTTGATACCCTCATCACCTTACTCTTATCTATGTTCACTCTCAACTTTCTACCTTTACACACCCTCCCAAGCTTGTCCACTAACCTTTGCAACTTTTCTTTAGAATCCCCCAAAAGCACAGTATCATCAGCAAAAAGTAACAGTGTCAGCTCCCATTCTGTATTTGATTTCCCAGTATACATTCTTAATTTTTATAACCACAAGAAAATTACCTTTGCAGCTTGGTGAGCCAATATGATTTTGATGAGACGTTCAATCATGAAGAAGCACCATATGCCCACCAGAACAAAGAGAGAGATGAACAAGTAGTCATGATGGCCGCTGCTCGATGTGTCAACGTTCAGTGTCTGAAAGTAAATTAAATTTCAAAATTTTATAATGGGTTTGGGCAAGTCTCCTTATACATGCTGCCCTGTTATGTATTCAGCAGTAAATAAATTACCAGAGTGTTAGTCAACTGCAGCTGACGGCATCCTGGGGGAAAGCAGTATACCTTAGTTAGAGACTGGGCTGAGATGAGCTCAAGGAGGATAACAACTCGCAATATAAACTGAACTGTGCAAAATAATTTATACAATAATATTAACTGATGACACTAAGGGGTTCAAGATGGGAAACAATGCCAGTCTTCATTTAAACAAATTAACATTTTGAACACCAACAAAGAATACCCCAGCAGGCTGCATTCACTCATTAACCTTCAAAGGGGTGTCTTGATACAGGTGAAGGGCTCTTGACCCAAGAAATTGGAGATAACCCTTCCCTTTCATAGATCAAACCTGATTACCTTCCATTCCATGGGCTGTACGACCTCTACAGATTTAGTGCTTCGCAATTAATATAATAAATGGGTGTATGTATTTCAGTTTCTCCATGGGGAAGTGGAAAAGGATTCTTCTTTGTAAGCCAAACATGTCACAAGAGGTGATTAAAATGCCGGGGATCAATGGACTAGTAACCCCTTCTCTTGTATAAATTACTTAATTTAAAAAGAAAAACTTTCATTGCTCTCTTTAGGTTACCCTGCCTCAGTGGGATATGGATGGCAAGTTGAAAAGAAGAAATACAAGAAATGTATTTCAGCTATTGTGAGATCCAGGACAGGTATACCCCTAGCCAAAAGACACTGCCTTTGTATATCACATGCAAAAAGAGAAGTACAAAGTGCATGTTAATTTTTAATGCAAACTAAAACAAAAATCACTAAGGAGTATAGGTCAACCCTCCAAAGAAGTTCAGAAGCTGGAGATCAATACCTTAGACTCAGGAGCTTTAACTCAACACACACACACACACACACACACACACACACACACACACACACACACACACACACACACACACACACACACACACAAAAAAAAAAAAAAAAAAAAAAAAAAAAAAAAAAGTCTAGCACTTGGCCATACTTCGGGGCCAGGAGCTGTGACTACCCCTGCAACCACAATAATGAGTACACTAACAGTCCTGTAACCATTGATCAACATTAAGAAGGCCAATACCTGGAACTCAACCTAGTCAAATACTAAAAAAAATTATGCAGTAATACACTCAGAAAATGTAAACAATGCCACAAGTAGGGACGGAAATAGACAATTTCTGCCAACTCCGATACTTTGACACACACTCCTAACCATGACAGAACTCTGTGCTTGTATCCATCGTTCATGGACTAACATGCTAAAGCACATCACATATTTGATACAAAACTATCCATACACCAAGGTTACCTACTAGTTCTCCCAATGCAGTAGAAATTTATAAATAATGTACAAAAAATATCTGATATTTTGAGATATATCTTAACATACCGATTTTAAAATGTCATATTTGTTAAATTGCAAAAGATATTATTGATATGTTTTACTTTTTCAGCATTGTTGCCTGTTATATTTTAAATTCTCAAGAAATCTGTATGCTTTTTAAATTGGCAGTGGAAGTCTATTAGAGCAAGCAGGTTTGTAAATCCCAGAGGCTGAAATAAAACTGAGCAAAACTGGCTACTACACAGTCCAATAACACCTTAGGAAACCTTTCTATTACATAGAAACCAGTACCTCATTTTTTAATTTTCTTCAATAAAATTGGTAAAGAAGCACTTCTGAAACCCAAAATAAATGGAAATCTTCCTCCAAATAAATCAGTTTTGGAAATTTAAAGCAGTTCAAAAAAAGACATTATCCTGTCATTATGCAAATTGGAACATACACAGCCCAAGAGCAATTGAAACCTTCCTCTGAACAAAATATACAAGTGCTAAAAGTTTGCAACTGAGTAGAAGAGGCATTCTTCAGTTACTGAAACAAGTTAATGAGGGTAACAAATGATTTAGGTAACGAAAGATTGGATTGGAAGAAGGGAATATGGAGGAAGTGAAAGTGTAGAGATATTTAGGAGTGTACTTAACAGTGGATGGATATATGAAGAATGAGCAGTGCATTGAGGCCTCTATGAAGACAATGTTAGCCATGGAGGCAAAAAGAGGAATACACGAGAACAAAGTGGTACTAACACTCTTGTAGGAGTGTGAAGCGTCGGTTGTAAATGTTGCAGCAAAGAGGAGGCTGGAGGGACGGCCAGGTAGGGGTTGCCCTAGGAAAGGTTAGAGGGAGGGGGTAAAGGTGGTATTGTGTAGGAGGGACTTGGATATCCAGCAAGCATGTGTGAGTGTGTTAGGAGTGAGTGGAGATGAGTGGTTCTTATGACCTGAGCTGCTGGTGTACGCAAGGCAACATTTGTTAAGGTATTCAGGGAAACCGGTTAGCCAGACTTGAGTCCTGGAGATGGGAAGTACGCTGCCTGCATTCTGAAGGAGGGGTGGGAATATCTGTAGTTCGGAGGGGCATCTGAACTATGTATCAGTACTCCTCTGGCAAAACAATGATAGAGTGAATTATGGTGAAAGTGTTTTCTTTTTCAGGTCACTATCTTGGTAGGAGACAGCTGTCAAAAAAATAGTAAATTGGCAAATTTGTACCTACATGGCCTTAACTTACTGGAGATCATTCTCAGAAGATGTGTCAGGTCAAAGTTGCACTGTTTAAAAAAAAGGCATCCTTAATTTATTTCACAGAAAAAAAAATAAAAAATGGCCCCAAGAAACTCCAATAACAACCAAAACTTTCTCCTTAGTAGGATGTATCAGAGTTGAAAGTCAAGCTGATTAAAATAAGTTTTCTCAAGTTGTCACAGAAACTGAATTCCCCTTTGGCTTTTATGAAATTAACCAAAGGGTATTTGCACATGCCAACAGGTTTAGTTTTATAATTATAACAGTATGAAACTTTGAAGCCCCTTGGATGAGGCTTTATCAAGTTAAAAACAAACACTGGGCTCAGAGAGTAGATAAACTCTCGAAACTCTTCACAGGTATATACCTAATAAAAATTTGCTCATTATCCCTATACCCAATTATACCAAGTCACCATCTCTTGGGACTAAAAATAAACATGACTGTTGCAAGGGCATAAAAATCCAGAAATCATTCAAAACCACCTATTTTTTAAATATTCTATTTAAAAGTGAGTAAAATGAAACTTGAAAGCAATCCTCCCATGCTGGATTTTTGGACATTTGGCTGTGCAATAGTTTGACAGCTTTATTATGCATTACCTACCACCCTATGGGTATTATTATTATAATAAAAAAGAAGCGCTAAGCCACAAGGGCTATACAGCGCTGCAGGGTAGGGAAGGAAGCGAGGGTATTGGGCGGTAGAGGGGGGAAGGGATAATCAGTAGGTTACAGAAAACAGCGGGGCAGGGGATAGTGCAGGGGGTAGAGGGCAGCAAGAGATTGAGGTAGAAAGGGCTGAAGGTATCATCAGAGTTTGTGAAGTAAGTCAGTTGTCAAAAAGTCAATGAGAGAGTCCGGATGAAAGGTGGGTCCATCAGCGAGAAGGGAAGGTAAAGAGAGAGCAGTGGAGCGAAGACGACGACAGAGGCATATTTTGCATGCTCGTTGATAAAGTGGGCAGTCTAACAGAATGTGGCTAACCGACAATGGAACCTGACAATTCTCACAGAGAGGAGCAGGGCGCCTCTCCATGAGATAACCATGAGTAAGACGAGTATGGCCAATGAGAAGACGGGAGAGAGTAGTCTCCCAACCTCGACACTGGTGACAAGAAGACGGCCAGTAACCTATACTCGGTTTAATAGATTGGAGTTTGTTACCGAGCAGAGAAGATCAACGTTGTTGCCAACGGGTGTGAAGGTGGGTTTATCTGGAGTTTATCTGGAGAGAGTTCCGGGGGTCAACGCCCCCGCGGCCCGGTCTGTGACCAGGTAGCTATTGCAGCAAAATAGTCTGTAAATGGAACATCTCTATATGAAACTGGTAGGTCATATACTGCTGACTGCACAGCAGTGTCTGCCTGTTCATTGCCCTGTACGTCAACATGACCAGGGACCCAACAAAAAACAATATCTTTATGCTTGGAAGAGATGCTGCGTAGCCAAAGTTGGATACGGAGGACTACGGGGTGAGGTGTATCAAATTTCTGTATAGCCTGTAAAGCACTAAGGGAGTCTGAGACAACCACAAATGATGACATAGGCATAGATGCAATACGGATAAGTGCTGCAAGAATGGCATACGATTCAGCAGTAAAGATACTAGCCGAAGATAGTAGATGCCCTCGTATGACGCTGTCCGGAAACTGCTGCGAATCCTACGCCGTCAGAAGACTTAGAGCCATCTGTGTACACTGCAATGGCATGAGAATGAGAGTGGAAGTGGTCAAGAAAAAGAGAGCAGGAAGCTACAGTAGACAGTTGGGCTTTTGAGCAAGGGAGTGAGAAAGAACAGACTCGAAATGATCACTGTCATGTAAATCCGGGAGAACAGACCAGGTGAAGTCTAATGCGGTGGAGGAAGAGCAGACTGAGAGATCGATGCAAGAGAGAGTACGAGTCCAAGGATCAAAATGGGTGCGAGTACCTGTATTTAAAACATGGAGGCGGTGGGTAGCAAGAAAAGCCTCTAACTGAATGCCACGGGAATCACAGTGAGACCCCCCCAGAGGAAATGATGGGCATTAAAATCGCCAAGTAACAGAAGTGGTGGCGGTAATGACGAAACAAGAAAGGCAATATCTGGGATAGATAATGCCCGAGAAGGAGAGAGATACAAAGAACAGTGTAAACCACCTATGCAAATGGATACGGGCTGCTGTGTAATGCAGCAAAGTACGAACAAATAGCTGATGGTACGGAACATCAGTGCGTAGAAGGGCACTTTCATTAAAGGTCCCATCAGGAAAAGGATCTGAAGAATACAATAAATTATAGCCTGAGATAGGATAGATAACAGCAGAGTGTAATTTTGGTTCCTGTAAGCAAACACT